CAGAAACACGGTTTGCGTTGCACCCTAGTGTATAGCAAGAGAATACGTATATTACACGAAAATGGTAGAAGTCGTGACGATGGGGATGCGGACTTAATTAGTGTTGCCGGAGTGCCGTGTTTCCCTTTCGACGCAGTCCGGTGTCGTGTGGTAATTAGGCGGGGGGGGCCTGTATTTTGATTCCACGATCAATCAATGCTCGCGGGAGTCGTTGATTACATTGATTGATTGATTGATTGTCCGGGAAGAAGCCGAGAGTCTGGGAGAGACGGTTGGGGGATTCGGATGCTGCTTTTCCGGGATATGCCGCCGGCTATTCAACGAAGTGAGTTTTTTTCCCCGAGGGAGCTTTGCTTCTTAATGACGTACTTTTTTCTTGCTGCTATCAAGATCATGATGCTGTCGATTTTTCTGTGTTGAGAGAAAAAAATAATGATAATGTTCTCCTGCTTCCCGTTCTGAGATGTAAAAATGCATCTTGATGCGTAATTACGGATTACACGGTGTGCTTGACGCTGCGAAATCGCAGTTTTGAGATCGAATCTGTGATTTATTTTCCTGGGGTTTGAAGTTTTTTTTTTTTTTTTTTGGTGTCGGATGAATGACGTACTTTTCTTGCTACTATCAAGATTACTGTGTCGGAGAAGAAACAGAAGGATAATTTACTTCTGCTTTCCGTTATGAGGCAAAAAATGCTCCGTGATGCTTAATTACAAATTAATGGCGGGTTTGACACTGCGAAATCGCTGTTTTGAGTTCGACTCTGTGATTTACTTTCCTCGCGTTTGAAGTTTTCGTGATTAATGACTTACTTTCCTTGCTACTATCAAGATAATGATGCTGTCGATTTTCGGTGTTGAGAGAGAGAGAAAAAATAATATACTCCTGCTTTTCGTTGAGAGACGTGAAATGCATCTGATTACTGCTTAATTACGAATTAATATGGGATCAATGGCGGGTTTGACGCTGCGAAATCGCATGTCGGAGTTCAAATCTCTGATTTACTTTCCTAGTGTTCGAAGTTCTCGTGATTCAAGTAGGATTTATTCCCTTGTTTTCTAGAATTCGATGCTCGAAAGAATTTATTTTTCTGTTTTGTTGGGAATTTTTAATATCAATTGTAGCAAAATACGCCTTTCGAATTTTTTAATTCCTCAATTTTTTCCGCTGCAGTTCGAAAAATTCGGGATGTTTTGAAAAATGTGTACCAAAACAACGTTTGCTGAAATATTCTATCATATACAGTATCTGAAAGTTGTATAAATATTTAAAAATTCGCGAGTACGATAAATTTTTCTGTTGAATCAAAAATTTTCGAATCTCTTCAGAAACTTCTGACATGTCAGTATATTATTGGTTATGAGAAATTTGATTTCGATTGATCTGGAAAGACTAAAAATTGAAACAACGTACAGCTGCTCTCATCAAGTTATTCTCGAAGAAAACGTTTTATTGGCTGAACTTCTATTCAAATGAATTCAGCAAAAATACATGAGCATCTGCCGAAACCCGACTTGCAAACCTGAAAAACATTTCGAGCAAAAATCCGCGAATTACGTGAGAATTGAAAAAAAAACTCAGAAAAGTCAAGTATCGACCTGAAGAACTCGTCCTTTTCCCTTTTCGTAAGACAGATGAATATCTTTCCGAAGTATCCGAACATTTATTTTTGGATTCCTTTCGCTGTGACTAATCTCACGAACGTTTTTACTGCATCCTCTTGTTTGGTGTCCTTCACCCGTTGAGAACAGCGTGCTCAAAATTTTTTTCGCGCATTTATTTTTGCGCCATGAGTCATCGCCCTGGTTTGACACACATCCGTGTCAAGTCTCTCAACAAATTTATTTTTAAATATTTTTTCCTACACCACGAGTTTTTTTTTCTTTTTGGGTCATTCACCTGTTTCACCTGTCGTTGGGTGTCGAATTCTTTTATTTTTCTTTGCCCGCAATTTCCACAAGGCTGCCGATTTTCACTGGGGATTTTTTTTTGGAGTCACGGCCGCATTTTTCTATTTTTATACGACTAAAAGCTCTTCTTTTCGTCCCTTTGTGACGAAATTATTCGGAAGGAGATGAAAAAAAAATAAACGAGACGTAAGATGATATACAGTACAGCATTCGGAAGTGTATCATTAATTACTGTATTATGATTTTATTCCGGAAACGGTATCAACGGAGAGTTAATTGTCACACAACTATTTGAGAATTTGACAAGATTTAAAAGAATAAACCTGTAGCGTATGATAAACTCGAAAAAAAATTATTTGACAACCGATGAAAAGTAAACCTCGGACGTTGGATGATATATTCAGAAGGAAATTATTTGACGTATGCAAAATTATTTGACAAGATCAAAAAAATTGAAAAATCTGGGACGTGAGATTATACATTCGGAAGAAAATTATTTGACGAGAGATTAAATAACAAATCTGGGACGTAAGGTGATATTCGAGAGAAAAATTATTTGACAAGAATAAAAATAAATAAATAAACCTGGAACGTGAGATGATAAATTCGAAATAAAATTATTTGACGAGAGATGAAAAAATAAACCTAGGACGTAGTATGATATATTCGAAAGAAAATTATTAACGTGTTTGAAATTATTTGACAAGATTAAAAAAATTTATAAATCTGGGACGTGAGATTATACATTCGGAAGAAAATTATTTGACGAGAGATTAAATACCGTAATAAACCTGTGACGTAAGATGATATTCGGAAGAAAATTAGTTGACGAGAGAAAAAAAAAAACCTAGGACTTGATAAGATATATTCGGAAGAAAATTATTTGACGAAAGAAAAAAAAAACCTGGTGCGAAAGATGATGTATTCGTAAGTGTATGGTGATGATGCTGTCCCGGAAACCTTGTTAAGAGTGAGTTAATTATCTTATGAGGGAAAGTCGAGGCACTTCCGAGTGCCAATTGGCGTGGCTAATTGCTAATAACCCCGTTTGTTAGACTCGTGACTCACCGCTTGTTTATTTTTATGCCAACATTCGACCTGGTGTGTGTGTGTGTATGAGTGTGAGCGGGTGTTAGCACATGAGTTGACATGTCGGTGGGGGAAGAAAAGTGGGGGGGAAGAGAGGAATGTATCCTTGCTTTCATGGGACTCATTCTTTTTCAATTTTTTCTTCTTTTCAATCCTTGCATGATTCGTGAAGTACTCGTACAGTACTTGTGATGGGGTTAGCTTTCAACCCACCTTGGGTGTTATTTTCAGAAATCCTTGGGTTTTCAGCAAGACGTGGATTGTAATTTGATTCCCTTCGTTGACGTTTTTGAAAGTTTTTATGTACTTCAAATGTTAACGATTTTTTTTGGAAAATGTATTGCTGTATTTTAGATGGAATCCTTGCGTTCTGCGCAAATTACGGGATTGTCATGTGATTTTTTTCGGCAGATTTTCCTCAAGTTTTGATGCACAGTGTGCAATTTTATTTCATGCGGGAATTTTTATATTTTTCGAACGATTTCTGATTTAAAATTGAAAGGAATTTTGAGTAGAATCCTTGGTTCTTTCCCAAATTTTGGTATAGTGTCATTGGATTCATTTTTCTGAGTTTTAATACAGGATTTTCTTTTGCGATTGTCTTTTGGGTTTGTTATATTTTAGAGCTTTAATTGTTGGAATAATTTTCTAATTTTTGAGCGTTCAGTACTTCGAAGTTTATTTTAGACGTGTTGAATGTAATGAAACAATCCTTGGGTTCTGCGCAAACCTTGGAGGTGTCATTTGATCCCTTGGTATTCTGTCTCGAAAATCCTTGGGTACTGCGGAACCCTCGTCAAGTGTCATTTGATCTTGAGCAGGCTTTTTGAGTTTTTTCACTTTCTTCAATTTTATCAAATGTGACATTCTACAACTTGGAATTACTATTGCCATTTTAAAATTCTTGAAAATTTAGTTCATCAGTAATTGCAGAGATTTAGTTTTTGCCTTTTTGGTGTTGCTTCCCGATCCCGTGGGTACTGTTGTTTTTTTCCTTGGCTGCGTAATTCGATCTCAAGGTTCCTTGGCGGATATTTTTAAAGTTCGTTATTATTCTGTTCATCATCAGGAAAATTATGATTATCTCACGTCCTTGTCTTCTTCAACGTGCTTTTTCGTGGCTATTTCCTAGTCGGTGTAATTATGGTTCCAATTGGTTCCTATATCCCGAGTCAGGCTTCAATGAGTTTTTTTTACTTGAATGAAATTTTTGTTGGCATTTCTGGTGGATTTTGTACAACAGTCCCCAATCGTGAATGTTGATAATACCAGGGGAAAGGTTTTTTTTTGGGGGTGATATGTGTGAGGTTTTGGCCCCGTCATGGGAAAGTTGGGGCCAGCTGCAGTTTTCTTATGTTGTATTCACACCGTGTTTTTTTTTTTGTGTCCGATAATACCAACGAGAATAGGACGATGAAGTGCTGAAACGTGATTAGCGTGGAATAAAATGATCATCATTATTTTTGCAATATCAAGGCAGCTTTCGGAAGCCATTTATTCCCCTTGAGCAAAATAATTACATATTTGGCCCGCGAGTCGAAAACCCAAGAAATTAGTATTTTTTAGTGTGCACTCGTTCATTTTGAAATTGTGAGGAGCCACGTTTTCACTTGCAAGATATTGTGAATTGATTGAAAGAGTTGCAAGATATTACGAAATGTGAGTTGGATTTATTCAACCCCGAGTCTCAATTTTCCGAGATTCTTTCGCATTCTGGGTGTCTCTTTTTTTTCTGATAATTATCTCTTGCGAATTTGATCGTGATTAAACCTTTGGGTTTTCTACCTATTTTTATGCCTATTAACTGACGGAACTGAAAGTTTAAAAAATGTAAAATACAGCAACAAATTTACTCTCATGATCAATGCGATGAACAATAAAATTAATCATGAATTAACATCGCATTACTTCTCGGTAAAAGTGTCGGATTTGTCGACGAAAATTCAAGATATTCCATCTTCGTTTATTTTATTTTTTGGAGACTCGTTGTGCGCAGCTCAGATGTATATATTTTTGGAAATGGAGTACGGATTATTTCGTCTTTCGATTTCTCAGATCCCAGCTAAAATCCTCTGTAGTGCAAATGATGCCTTTGTGAACATGGCATCAAAAGCGAGAGATGATTTTGTGCTGATGCAGCAGATGCCGGATGATGAGGGGAAACCAGGATTGAATATGAACGGTGTCGAGGGGTTCGGGTGGGTGGGGAACGAACCCAGGGGTTTCATGACAGACAATCACATACGACAGTATACTGTACTGGAAAACTTCACCGAGAGGGGGGAGAGAAAAATCAGGAGCAATTTTTTTTCCTGAACCATGAGTCACCTTCGTTTTTTTTAGTGAGTTTCCGTCACCTCGAAAAAGATGAAATCCGTTTTCATTCATCCAATTATTATCCTTTTCATTCCTTTTACTTTTATTCTGTTCCATACGTCGATAATTTTTGTGGAAGTTGAGACGAGATTGTGTAGATAGAACGAGAAGAGAAAACTTTTTTTTTTCTGCCGTGTCTGGAAATCGTGAGACGCTCCTATTTCTATTTTCTATCCGAGAAAGTCTTTGATTGATCGTCTGCGAAGTTGCTTTTTTTTGGCGGCGGCGGAAATGGCAGAGTTCCGACTTTGAAGAAGTACCTTCTTCATCCTTTCTTGTGTTTTATTTTTTGTTGATCATTATCTTGGAGAAAGTTGTGTGAGAAAAAAAATGTTGCTAGCTTTTCGTTGTTGTTCCAAAAATAAGACCGGCACTCTTTTTTTCCTTTTTGGCGGAAAGACGCCAAGTCTTGTTTTAGTAACGAGGAAATGGAACTTGAATTTTTTGTATGCTTTTAATTACTGCCAATAAATAATTTAAGAAGAAATGAAATCAGAAACCGAAACTGCGCAGTAATTCTATTTTTCGCCTTCCTACTTTCGAGTAAGTCGTTCGCAGTTTTTAAAATTTAGCGAACAGCTCTGAAATATCGTTCTGATAATCTGCATATTTGACTGCTTTTGGCACGCGAAATTTAGACAATATTTCTTCAAATCCCTTCGCAGGAAAATTTCTACATTCATGAATACACTGGGGTAATGTATTGAAAAAATACTTGTTCTGATTTTTATACATGTAATCAAGGCCATGACATCGGAAATATTTGTAAGATAATTTAATGCGCTTTGATTTTTCATTCTTTTCAAATCCGGTCACTCAAAATTTTCAGACGAGTTCATGGATTATTTTGTTTACTTTCTATTTCATTTTTTGTTGAAATCGGAAATCCTCGATTTTTCCTGGGGGTAAAAGGGGTCTTGAAATTCGTGACGGTTTTCTTGAACTCAAACTTTCTGAGAAAGGAAAAGGGGTTGCTTTTTTTGGAGAACCCTGGTCTTATTTTTCTTCTTGTTCCTTCCCCTTGGTGACACAGAAGAATATTCCGAGCACGTCCAGGGTTTTGGGGTTGGGTTTAATTAAAGGACGCAGTCATGCGCCAATCGGGTGGGTTTCGTCAACTCCTCTTAATTTGCCACCGAGAAAAAAAAACCTGGAAATTCTGCAGCATTATTTTAAAGGTCCTCTTTATTTTTTGCAGGAGGATTTGCGGAATTCAGCAAGGACCACCCGGACTTGTGCTCAGATTCGAGCAGATGGCGGCCGATTTTGAAAACGCTGTCGCAGCCGTGCCTGGTGTCGTCGTGCTACTCGTCAGGGGATCGAGGTGGCAGGGCCACGAGGATCCTTCCCTTTTTGTACCTGGGTTCCGAACAGGATGCCCTGGACCCAGATTTTCTCCAGGTTTGTGAAATTTTCCTTCAAAATTGATTCTGCGATGCGGTATTTTTGTTGCGAAAATCGAGAGCGGTGTCAATGTTTCACTGACGCGCACTTCGTTGTTTCCTGGTGTGGAAGGCAGATGTCGCTTGAATCCCTGGCGACTGAAAAATGCCCGTATTTTTAGAAGTGGAATTTTTTATTTTAATGCAGAAAGGAAACGATGAGAAGTTATTTGCGCTGACCATATTGTAAGACAGTGTAATGAGCATTAAAAAAATTTAACATTGCAAATGAAAATTCTTCGAGTTGTTGACAAAATTAAATTATGTATGTAGCGAATTATTCGGATTGTGGATTCGTGGAAGTTGTTCAGTTGCAGATTCATTTTCTTTTTCCGCAATTTTTCTTGCGGAAACATATATTGCAGTATCTTTAAATCTCATTTTCTTTTTTATGTCTGTAGCGAATTATTCGGATTGTGGATTTGTGGAAGTTGTTCAGTTGCAGATTCATTTTCTTTTTCCGCAATTTTTCTTGCGGAAACATATATTGCAGTATCTTTAAATCTCATTTTCTTTTTTTTTTCGTACTTTTCTTCCCAAGACGTTAATAATCGTGACGAGAAGACAGATGTCGCCTGAACTGCCAAAAATAATTTTGTTCACACGCATGTAATGACCGTATTTTTGTTGTTGAGAGTTTAAATTTTGCGAGTGTGCAAATGCCAGATTGGGCAAGGGTGAATGATTTCAGTTTTTTGAGCTGCAGAAGAGATGGAAAACTCGAATAACAATTTTCGAAACAAGACAGGACTTTTTTCTAGTATAAAGATTTTTTTCTACTGTTTTTCGAGTGTTCAGTTGTATTTACAGTATTTCAATCTGAACGCTGAAAATGGTTCGAGTCCCTCAACCAAGTACACTAATGTGAAGCAACTGTAAAAGAAGAGTCTTGATGTAGACCTCCTGGAAATATCCTTTATCATCCACTGAAAAAAAATCATTCAACGAATCGATGAGAAACCGCAAAATATTTCGGAATAACTGCACCAACAGTAGGGGACCGAAGAAATTAATTATCGACACAATCGAGATATTTGAATTTTCTTTCTATTCATTTTCGAAAAAATTAAAATGTTGGCGACCAAATTTACTAATATCGCTTCGATTTTATTTCTTAAAAAAAGAAACGAAAAGCGGCATTCAAGAAGTTTTAAATTCGCAACTACAACAAAATCCGGTATCCCTAGCAAAAATCGCTAGCGACGTCGA